TGCTGTTTCTGTAGCTTGTAGACACACTGACCCTGTAAAGTTAGGAGCTGGCTGTATGCCCTGCTGTGACATGGCAAACATTTAAACACAGAAATGACTTCAGGCATGTGAGTAGTGCTCTGGAGATCTGCAGGGTTACTCAGCCGACCAAGTGACTGCTGAATTTGGGCTCAAGCAGCTTTATGGTGTTCAGTAGACACCACAACTGCCATTAGCTGGGATGCAGCTGCAGTAGCAAATATACACCTAGTGGGAGGATTTAACCAGCATTAAGATGCATTCAATTTAAGTTGACTAAAATTGTTTTTTTTAAAGCGCAAGATGATGAACTCTTGGTCAGAAAATTTCTCCAGGAGATGCGGAAAGAAACATCTCTCTTCCAGTTATGAGAGCTGTTGAAGCCTTAGGTTACTATACCCTGGGAAGGTAGCTGACTTACTTTTTCTTCTGCCATAATCACCATAGTATCAGAGCATCTCACATTCATTAACAGACTATGGCTTCACAACATTCCTGTGAGGTAGGGAAGTATTATTCCTAGTTTACAAACTGCGAAAAAAGAGATTATGCAATTCTCCTAATGCCATCCAGACAGCCTGTGGCTAAGCCAAGGACCCAGCTATCCTAAACCCAGTCCACTGCCCAACTGCTGAACTATCCATCCTACACCTGACAGGTATTTATTCTAACCTAGAACAAGTAGAATCCTACATGGAAGATAAACAAAACTGGTTCTAGAGAGGCTCCCAACCATTTCAGGCAGTATATCACACTGAGAAGACTCGCACATTGGCCGTAGCAGCTAGTGTCCACCACATCTGATTTAGATGTGCCCCCCTAACCTGCTCAGTATGCTCCTGCCTGTAACAGGATCTGGACAGATATCACCTACAGGTCTGACTGTACTACCTAAATAGCTGCTGTAATTTCAAGTGCATACTGAACTGCTATGCACCCCCTCTGCTAGCCTGTTGTGGCACTGCTACCACCTTCTGTCCTGGGAGCCATTACTTTCCGTGTTGCAGGGTGAATCAGAGGTCTAGCCCATTCTCATATTTCCACTGTATATTGGCAGGCTCTTCGGAGACAGAGGAGCACTCAAGGCTCTAAGCCTGTTTCCTGAGCCTCACTCCTTACTAACTGTGCTGCCCTGTTTCTTCTTTACCTCTGGCAATAGGAACATATTTCTCGATGATGCTGATGTAGAGCTGCAGTGTGAGCTGTGGGGTGGAGCCCAGGAAGGCCTGGATCACTGCAACACGCTTGAAGGCATTGCGATGTGTGACCAGCCTGCGGACTGTGTGGCCGACCTCCTGCTCCATCTCCACCTCGTAGCCTTTCTTGAGTTTCTTCTTACGTGTGATGGTGACATAAGGCTCCTCCTCCTGCCCTGAGGTGCAGTAAACCACCAGGGCTTCCACACACCTGCACAAACAAAGCAGCCCATCAGCCCAGCCAGCACACAGACCCTCCATGCAAGCCCCTCCATGTCAGCAGTATCCCATCTTCCACATCCTCATCTGATGTGGACAGCACCATCCTTGTGATGCTCAGTGGGGTCCCCAATATCTTAACTTCCTGAGCTGCCAGTGCCACACATGCCCATAGTCATAAGGCCATAGAGAGCACGTGCCCCACTTCTACTCAGAATGTTGCTGCTCCCACTCAGGCAACTGGCAAGAGAGCGCAGCATGGCAAACACCATCCTGATGCAGATATTGAAGGGCAGAGCACTAGGTTTGCATTGTGGGAAGCATATAACACAGAATGCTGCCTCTTCTGCTGCCATGCTTGAAAATAGCAAGGTACTAAGTTTGCGTATGTGTGTGTGATGTCCATTCATACCCTACTGGGATAACAGCTCTTGCAGGCCAAATGAATTGTTTATGCACTGTGTTTTATCTTCTGCAGGAAGCAGGAGTCTTTCCTCAGCCAGCCCACCACTGTTCCTAGTAAACAGAGAGTTGGGAAAAAGTCCCTCTGCTATGTTTTGGGTGGAAGCTTATGGTTGGCTTTGCCAGCCCTGGAGACTCCTCCCTACAGTACATCTCTGAAACATGCAGGGGTTTGGGCTTCTGTCTAAATCCGCCATTTTGCTGCTTCAGTGCCAGCCTCATCAGTTCAGCATTTGAACTCCAGCCCACCTGAGCCGCATGATCTCCATCAGCCAAGAAAAACGCACGTGTTCAAAGTGGTCTGCTGAAGAAAACTAACATCTGTGTAGGCTTGGCTTCTGCTTGAAAACTAAGGACCTCTAGGACAAGTGGTGAAAGTTTTACTGGGAAAGTTAATGAAACAAAAGCAACTGCTGTTTCTCAGATCAAGGTGGAATTAGATCTTTGTAGAATGTCTCTTACAAAAGCCTAAGCCTCACCTGGATCATGTTTTGTGACAACAATATGAAACCCAGCTGCTCCAAAAGGACAAGCTTCAAGTGAATCAGAGATGATTTATGGCATTTCATCAAAACCAGGTGAAACAATATGTTCAGCTCTGGTCAGCTTTGACTGCAAGGCTTTGTTTGCAATAATTTGCATAAACCAGGCAGCTTTCTCTGGAATAGCCCTGAATGTCTCTCACAAGAACAAGATGCTTGCAAGCACTGTAAGAGGCACTGCAGACACTCTGCATTTGGCCCTCTGCAGTTGAAATGCATGGAGGCCATATGCAGCACTGACCCACCATAGAGAAATCCTACCACATGCTTTTATATAGAGAAATATCATGCAGTAATGAGAATCAAGGCATTTCATGCAAGGTGTCAAACTCAAGAAAACATGCAGGTGGCCTGTAATGGTACAAGCTGTGCTACTGTAAGACTTGGCAATGTGTTACAAAAACCATTTAACTCTTATTAGGTGACCAGAGTGAAGTTGCCCAAACCCTGGAAATTCAGTGTTAAAGGACAGTGTTTTCTCTTTAGAACCTATGCAAAATGGAACATGAGCCCATTAGTATGGCTTCATGAGAGGGACACCATGGGATTGCCCCTTCTCAGCTTCCTGTGACAGGATGTAGCAACAGCTCAAGTCCCTGGGGGCTTCTGGGTACATCTCTGAACTAGCTGTTTTGATACAAGCTGCAAGCTGCATTGCTTGGCTCTGCTCATCTCCTTCCCAGCTCTCCATGGAGACAACTAAAAACACTACCTGACTGCATCCCAGGGCAAAGTGTGAGCCCCACCCTTTCAGGGAAGCCAGTGGGAGAGGCTGAGACACACCTAGTCTGTTATGCAGCCTAGCTAGAAATAAACAGGTTTTTATATGGTTTTATGCCTTTAATGAGCTCTGATGCAGCTGGCATGGCTTTTTGCACCACCTACTCTATGTGAAAACAGGCTGTGTTGCCGGATGGAGTTGACAGAATTACTAATGGGAGTGCTCCCATCTTGAGCACAGTGCCCATCAGTCATTGTCCAAGAATGGGATGCAGGTATCTTTCCTCACTGTTTCCTGCCTCTTCTGCTGCCAACTCCTTCTCCACTATCCTTTGGGCTGAGGACTGCAATTAGCTGGGGTGCTCTCTTCCCAGTCATGCAAATATGCTGTAAGTTTTCTATTCCAGTTTTCACACTGCCACATGCTCTTCCCCCGCACCTCACAGCATCAAACCCAAGGCAGCAGCTGCCTTCCTTTAGTCAGAGGCTTCATTCCCATGCCCACAGAGTTGCTAGTACACAGATACCACAAGCCAACTCTTCCTGGTCTCTTTAACATCTCACAAAACTGAAGGAAAGGGAAGTGCTGTCTGAGAAAAGCAGCTATGAAAAGGAGACCTTTGTTAGAGAGCCTGGGTACAAGCTTACAGAGACAGTAACTCCACCCTCCCTCCAGATAGACAGAGAGGGAGACTTCACTGTGAGGGGAACAGGGGTGGAGAGGATGTGATGGGAGGGCAGAAACCAGATAAGGTCCCTTGATAAGCTCCAGCAGGCCTCTCTCAGGTCAATGTGGCAATACCAGAGAGGAGCAAGCTCTCTAGAAACTCCTGTGGTTTATTGGCAAAAGTGTTATGAGGAAGAGAGGTACAGCTAGGGGTGGGGAGGAAGGGCTGCCTGTGGGCAGAGGTGCAGACAGGGAACAGGAGCTATTCTGGGATAATGAAATGCCTTTGGAGGTTTTGCTAAAAATTACATCATTCTAAAACTTTACTTGACCCTATGGAAGCACCCTCTGCCTGCTCGGAGAAGGAGGACAAGGAACATAAGAGTCTGAAACCTCACACAAAGAAACTAAAAGAAGGAGCATGAGTTCCTGGGCCCCATATCTAGCCTGGACCACAGGAAATACAAGGAGCTCCTCCACAGCCATTGCCAGGGACAGGAGCTATCCCACAGCTGGAGCTCCCTCCAGTAGCCCTGGTATTTATCCCACAAGATACCTTCCAGTGGCAAAGTGCTGTGCAAACAATGTGAACAGCACAGAACTGCAGGGACACAGGCAGCACGCTGGCAATATCCTGGACACTGATTCCAGCTGTGAACACTCAAAAGCTTCCCAAGTTGTCACACAAAGTTTGAGGACCTGATTCAAGCCACTAAGTCATCTCAGATTTGGTTCCTGGGGCTGGGCAGGGGCTATTTAGGACAGGGGAGGTTGGAGGCACCTTTGCTCACCTGATGACAGGCCCCAGTTGAAGAAGGTGCATCAGGAGGATCAGTGGCTTGTCACTGGTCAAATCCCGGTGAATAAAAATAAGCGTCAGCTGGACCAGGATGGACGGACACACCATGAAGAAGATGGTCAGCGTCAGCCAGAAGCGGTCGTCGGAGTGGCTGTAAGAGAAGCACAGGATTCCGGCCGCCACCGACTCGCCGCAGAACAAAAGCGTGGAGAAGAGGATGCCCAGCGGCAGCTTTGCCTTGGGGGATGCTTGGGGCTCCCCTGTTTTCTCCTCGAAGGACGGCTGCTCCGAGCACTCCCTGATGGAGCCCTCGCACGCGCTGTCCATCCTGGGAAGCCCGGTCCCTCCAGCCCCCTCGGTGCCCCGGCCTAGGAGCTGTCAGCGCGGCCGAGGGGCGGCGCCGTCAGCCCCCCACGGCCATCCCACAGGGCCCAGACGCGGCTCCAGCGGGGGAAGGGGAAGATGGCAACTCCAGCGCGTCCCGGTCCTGCTGCCCCGACCGGCGGGAACCGCCCGCGGCCGAGCGCCGACCCGGGACAGCGCCGCGGGGCTCCTCCGCCGCTGCAGACGGG